AAAGCACTGGTTAACCAGGAATTATCCGAAATGTGGTCTTTTAGGAGTGCATCCACTCAGGGAGATCAGCTCCGTGCTTTGTGACCGCCTGGAGGGGTGGGAAAGGGAGGGAGCGAGGGAGGGAGACGCAAGAGGGAAGAGATATGGGAACATATGTATAGGTATAACTGATTCACTTTGTTATACAGCGGAAACTAACACACCATTGTAAAGCAATTATACTCCGATAAAGATGTGGGAAAAAAAAAAAAAAAAGAGTGCATCCATTGATGCACTTTATGTAAAAACTAGTTTGAAGTAGGTTTTCAAACCACATTATTTTCCCTGAGCTTAAAAATGTTCAGCATAAAACATGGCATAACCCAGTCCATCGAACGTGAGAGAAATAGGCCACATAAAACCTAGAATTCTGGTCAGAAAGGAACCTTCAAGAGAATCTATGGAAAGTGAGGCTTATAGACCTAAAGTGATTGTTCAAATCCCCTAGCCAACGCAGAGAATCAGTCTAGAAATCAAGATCCCTAACACTTTCTTCTTCCATTCCACTAGCCAGCATCTCCGGATTTGAAATGCCAACGTTAAGAGAGTGAAGGAAAATATACTTCAATGAAATGACAACTAAGGATGGGATTTTTAAATTAATTAGTGATATAATTCTCTAGTGGGCACTGCAGTTTTCTCCAAATGATTCGTCTGGGTTAATCTAAGCACGAGGCACTCTCCTGGGAATGTAAAAGGTGAGGGGTGTGAGGACACAGGCCTAATGCCAAACTGGCCCAGATCGATTAAAGAGAAAACTTATTTTCCATTGGTTGTGGGAGACTTCCCCCTCCCACCCCGCCTCATAGCCACTGGCCATAAATAAGGATCGGAAAGCTCAGACAGCAACTAGAAGCCATCTGATGGTGATGAAAGAAATCAGCCCATTGAGACGAGGTTGAAATTGAGCTTGGAAGGAAGTCATCGGGAGAGGTGCATCGACCAGGCACATGCCCAATCTTGCACTTATGGTGGTGAGTCCCAGCAGGGCTTCTCTTCCTTGCAGCCAAAAGCATCCTGATAATATTCCATACCCAGCCACTGAAGAGCCACAGGAACTCATCACATTAACTTATCCTAAATGTAGAAGGAATAGCAATGTGTATAAAAGACGATTCCGCACAGAGCTCCAAAATGATAACCTTTAATCATCCATCAGGACTCCACTCCGCTGTTACTGTGAAATCGTCTCTCTTCTCACAATTCCTAGGTTATACCACTCAACATGAATAGTTTCTGCAGCCCCTGTCACGTGACAATGTATATGTTAAAGCATTAAGTAAAAGCTAATTATAAATGTAGGCCTCATCCCCCAAATAGATATAGGCTCCCCAAGAAGAAACTTTTCTTAGAAACTTTAATTTCCAGTACGTGCTATGATTTCACAGAAACAGTGGAATGCTTGCCACGTGGTGTGTGTTAAAAACCTGGCAGAAAGTGCTGTCAGCTTTCTCTTCAAAGCAAGAGAGTAGAGTACAGAAGCATGAAGTTAGATGTTTTCCACATATACAAATGGCAGAGAATTTTATTTGATGCTATGGCTTCCCGTCCATTGCGGCAATAAAATGTGTTATTTCTGTTATTGGGGGGGTGGGGTGGTGGGTGGAGAACTGAGATATGTTGCTTTAATATACTATATATCTAAGAAATTATGTAATTTTGAAAATTTTACCTTAAGGAGGAATACGTTGCTTTTGAAATGATCTTTGGTACATTTTACTTGCAGTAAACATAACCTTGTAAATCCATTTTGAATCTGGATACATATTAAGTTTCCATGGAGGGGACACAGTGAGCTACATTTCAAATTAGGAAGCACAAGGCCCTAATTATAATCTTCATTTTTGTCGAGTGGATCTGGCATATTAAGTAAACCAAATGTCACCCTGTGGTGTTTATATTCTTTAGAAGGTCAAAGACTGCTACATGTCTTTTCCCTTTAGCGATTTTAAATAACATGAGCTCGCTTAGAGCAAGCAGCTGAGCACCTGCTAAACCTCCAAATCAGGAGGAGGCCCTGCCGTCCCCCCTCTAGACAGATTCTTCTTGGGAGAAGTCAGAGGGTGGGTATTATTTCTCAGTACTTCTTTTCTTCCTACCCATGCCTTTTCCCCCTTGGTGATGATGAGGCGATGGCTGACATTCTTTAAGCCTTTCCCCGCTGCAGGCTCTAAGTGCTTTCAGGTGGTTTGGGAGGTGATTAGGTCATGAGGGAGGAGCCCTCAGGAATGGGATTAGTACCCTATAAAAGAGACCTCAGCGAGCTCGCTCGCCCTTCCATCACGTGAACAAAACAAGAAGACAGAAGACGCCATCCCTGAACCTGGAAGCCGGCCCTCCTTACCAGACACCGAATCTGCCAGTGCCTTGATCTTGGACTTTCCAGCCTCCAGAACGGTAAGAAATGAGTTCCTATTGTTTATAAGCCACCCAGGTGATGGTATTTGTAATAGCCATGTGAACAAACAAAAACAGTTCTTGTAATTCTTTTTATGGCCAAGAAAGCTGAGGCCCAGAGATACTGAGATGAGTGAAGGGCTGAGTCGTGGCTCTAAGCCAGCCGTCTGCCTCCGGGACACTCATTTTTTCTTTTTCTAAAATTGTGGTATCATTAATGCCGTATAATTTCAGGCATACAACGTGATGGTTCTATATCTGTATATGTTGTAAAATGATCATCACAAGAAGGCGTTAACACCTGTCACCTTAGAAATTTTCTTTTCCTTTCTTGTGGTGACTTTAATATCTACTCTCTTAGCAACTTTCAAATATGCACTACGGTTTCATTAACTGTAGTCACCACGCTGTACTTTGTACTTATTTGCTTTATAACTGGAGATTTGCCCCGCACTCGGGCAAGCACCAACATCAATGTCAACGTCCTACCTACGAGCTCTGGATTTTGGGTGCTTGTGGCTGTTTGCGATTCCGCATGTAAGGGAGATCATATGGTATTTGTCTTTCTGGGTCTGACATTCCACGTGGCATAACGCTCTCAGGGTCCTGCCATGCTGTTGCAAATGGCAAGATTTTATTCCTTATTATGGCTGAATAATAGTCATCTCCCTCACGTTTTCTTTATCCACTAGGCATACTGCTGCATTTTAATCTGCAGCCCCAGTTTAAACCCTCACCTCGTTTACTAATCCGTAGCCTTAGATGCAGTAGTTTGTTCTGATTCTGAAGAGGCTACGACTGAAGACTTAGTTTAGAACCCTGGAGAATATCCAAACTGATTTCAAGTTATAAATGAAATCTCCTGTCAGAGCAGAGAAGTATTGATCCCTGGATACAATCAAGTATAATTTGGACACCAAGCAGCTCTTATATCCAGGGTTCTGGTCTTCTCTCGGAGTGGAGTAATGGTGTACAAACGTGATCTTGTCATCGGGTTCACCTGACAGTTTACTTTGGAGGTGGTTTTTCTCAAGAAATACTAGAACCCTATAAAAGGGGTGATTCCCTGCCTGCGGCTCAATTTTCAGTTTCCAGTTACAACACGTGGTTTCTCATAATAATGCCTTAACCTAGACTTACTCAATGACACTTAGGACCAAAACACATGCCAACAGTAATTATTTCCCTCAGATTAGAAATATTTCATGTGTCTGATGAAATAAGTGTGAAGTTACTCTTAAAAGATTTTCAAACCCTGTTAACTATCAGCTTTATTTTCTTTGAAAACACACAAGTCTTCTGAAATGCAGAAGAGTTTAGGGTTGTTGGATTTTTAAAACTCCACACAAAACAGACACAACAAATGAAATTCATGCCAAATGAATCGCTCCAAACTGCCAAGCCCGAGCCCGTCTACTAATTTAACACTACAGCACTCAGGACAAAGGAAAGGAGTTAATATTATTAACACTTTAAAAAAAAACCCAAAACAACAACCAACAGTCATCTGTAACATGCTGCTGTAAGTTGAACAACCAGTGTGTGGATTACTAGTATAAAGAATTTCAATGGCAAACTTAGAGCTCCCTTAAAAAAACAAATGTGAACAGAGACAGTGAGTTGATGCAACCATTCTACATCTGGGAAAAATATTCTCCTTGTGAATTCTAACAACAAAGGACAAAATATAATCGTGTTTTAGAGTGGGACTGTCCCTAGCACTGCGACTTCAGCCAGACCTTCATGGTTCAGATGAGGCCAAGCGGAGAAAGGCTTCAGGCAGGGGAAGGAATGGGACTCAAGGGTGGGATTAAGTTGCCAAATGCCAGTACAGTGAGGCCTGCTTGCGGGGGGGGGGGGGGGGGAAAACCCTCTCGTAATGAGAGGAACCCAGGAGTCAGGGGGAGGAGGGGGGGGGGGGGGGGGGGGGCAGAGTTACATATCAGAACAATTGGAATTAAAACAAAAATATTTAAAAAGTTAAAACACATACTCCAATGCACGTGCATCATCAAGTCATGGGGGAGCTCAAATTATTCTAGGTCAAGGTCCAGTGTGAAAAATTCACGTAAGCGAAAATTTGTAGAGCCAAGACACACTTCAGTTTGGCTGAGCACATTTCCAGTGTGTGACTGCATTTCCTTCAGGGGTCACTACTATATTGCAGGGACTTTAGAAATGTTGGTAACTTTTTAAAAAGCGTAACAGAATGCTTTTAACTGAAACACTGGACCAGGTCAAAGCTCCTGAGCATCCCATGGGCTTTCAGATCTACGTGTCAGTATTTAAGAGAAAACAGGGAGGAAAAAAGCAGCTCTCTTCATATTTTAAGCAAAGGTCTTTCTCGGAGGTTGTTCAGACTTTTTTCTAGATTAAATACACAGGCAATGCTACAGGGAGTGCTTCCCACTTCTCTAAATGGGAAGAAAACTTAAAATGATGCACTATCAACTGCAAGGTGGAAACGGAGCTCAGAAGAGCACGTGCAGAGAGCCCTCTGCTAAGTGACATGTAAGGTGTGATGACCCCCTTGACACTCCCATTATATCAGGAGTGCAATTCAGTTTGGGGAAAGTAGTTTAATGTATTGCTCAGAAAAAAAAAAAAAAGTTTATATATTCCCATGTCTGACAAAGCAGTGGTTAGGAAGTCCAGCGCCACCAGGAGACCTTCACCCGGTCCCACACGGCCGAGAGCGAATCCAGAGCCGGCCGGACGTCCAGGATGGTGAACTGGTAGTCGTGGTTGACCTCGCCACCATCGTAGTAGTCAATGACGTATCTGACTTCTGTCCCGCAACGGTTGACGATCCAGTCGTGCCTGTCAAAAGGCAGCTCGTACCTGGAATGAAAACATGGCGGCGGGGGTTAAAACGCTGGTGGGGTTCAGCTCGGGTTCAGGCGGTGAGCAAGGCGGTAAGGCTGCGCGTGGGGAGGCCTGCTCTCGGAGTCCACGTCTAAGGGTAGGTGAGACTCGGAGGTCAGAACAGTCCACAGCGCTGAAGGCGGGTGGGGCTGGAGGGCTGGAGGAGCCCCGATCAGAGGACAGCTTATCTGCTGCAAGGGAATAAGGTCAACGGCGGGAAAGACGCCCAGGCCTGGGAGGTCAGCTGAGGCCCTGCAGAAATGCGGGTGTGAGCTGCAAATCCGACTACAACAGGAGCGCTGACTGCACAGGTGGACAGAGATGGAGCGCGGGAGGAGAGAGGGGACAGCTGCGAGAACACAGAAGATGACTCGGTTCAGTCCTATAAGAATTAGACAGGAAGCAACCCGCGGCACCCTAAGCAATCTGCCCGCCAGTGGCCGCCTTGAGGGAGCACAGGTCTACAGCTGAACGCTGATGACGTTTTGGAAGTCGGCACCACAGTTCTTCCACTGTCTGGTTTTGGTGCCAAGAGAAAGCAGACCCTGACCTGAGGAACAGAAAAGAACATTTCTGCACTGACACTCACCCCATCCAGGAACGAATTCTTGCCCTTGGTGAATACTCTTTCGCTTTCCCTCCAAACCGGATCAGTGACGGACCACAAGGACACTCCCTAGAAATCCCCAAGGAAGAAAAGTCTATTAAAATATTTTCTTTCCCTTGAAAAATAGGGCAGTTTCTCAATAATACACATTTTTCTGTAGGCATTTTACATAATATCACATTTACAGAGAAAGGTAACTTCGAAAAAATTCAAAGAAATATCCCTATTCGTTAAAAATTCTGTGCTTTACTTCCGGATCAAGTATGTTTTACTCCTCCCCCTTTCCCTCCATATATCTGCACTGCTCTTGGCAGGAGTGAGGAAAGGGGGCCTTTCCACATGACGTGAGGGTATACTCTCAGGAAGAAAAGTGTGAGGCATCGGGCATCACGCTTTGCTTTCATGAAGAGCAGCTGGGGTTTCTTCAGATGAATATACGAAAATCCTATACTCTTGTCTCATTTGAAACCAATAAACAGCCTTCGTGAAGAAAGAAAAATGCTGGCTGATTCCCTAGGAACTAATGTAATCAGTGTTGGAACCATCTCTTTAAGTAACTGCATACAAGCTGACGGAGGGCAAGGTCCTGCCTAGACAGTCCACTCAGTCTCTGGGCAGACCCTGGGCTTGGACGTCCTAGGTGCCCGCCAGCCCGCGCCCCGGCACTGGGGGGCTCACGGTAGGCCTAGCACGAGGCACACAACAGTGTCCCCTGTGGAGGGAGTGGGAACTCCCGGAGGCCACCTGTCTTGGCAGCTGCTGTCATTGTTGAGACAGGCTTCGGCCTGGACGGGTCTCTCTAATGAACTGGGAGGCAGCAAAGCACCCCGAGTGTGACGGGCCCCCAGGTGAGGACTAGCCAAGCTCCTTCCCTTCTCGGCTTTAACGACAGCACACTTTCAGCACAGGTCGCTGCAGACATTCGGAGCCCCCGTCACGAGCCAGCCAGGAGGATGACGCCTGCCCGTCCCGGGGAACTGAGAGGGGAAGCGTGGCCAAGTGACACCCAGGGAGTGACTAATGAACTTCAGAGTCCAAGCATGAAAAAACAAACAGAGCACCTTAAAAATCATTAAGTGGATTTTACCCAAGAAATTAATCACTCGCATTTTGCCATGAATTAAAAATATTAGCCACCGACCATGATAAAATCTGGCTCCGTGGAGACTCCACCCCCCACCCCACGCTTCTCCAGGGGGAGCCCTCCACCCGCCATCATGCTGGAAATGCTAAGTTTGGGCCTCACCCCAGACTGACTGAATCACAAACCCTAGGGGTGAGGCCCAGCGCTCGGTATTTTAACAAACCCTCAGGTGATGCTGACGCGGCTAAAGCATGAGGACCGCGGCTCTGAACAGACCGACGGCCCATCGCCACTAACTCACAACTGCATTTGGTTAGTCTCCCTGAGAAGAAGGACCACGTGCAAAGATGCCTCTTGATGTTTTGCTCCTGATGGGGATTCAATAAACGCCGCTGAGTGAACAAACAAGACTGTTTTTCCCAGCTCCCTTTGGGCAGAGAACATTTTAGAATCTCCCAACCCCCATGCTCTGTTTGCAGTGGACTCTGACACTACTGTTGAGAGCTGGGGTCTACGGCCCCTCCCCTTGAATCTGGGCAGGCGGTCATCAAAGGAGAGGCAGCTTCCCTGCCGCTTTCTGGAACTCTAGCTCTGGGAACCCAGCCACCATGGTGTGAAGAAGCCAAAGCAGCCACATTTAGAGGCCATGGGCAAGTGTCCCGGCCGACAGCTGGCATCACTTACCAGAGGATTCCAGCCCACGGCTGTCAAAGCCACCCCTGACCACTGAGTCTTGGTGGCTGAGACCCCATGCATCAGGGAGCAGAGACGAGCCATCCCTACTCTGTCCTTTCTGTACTTCGGACTCACCAAACCCACGAGCATAATTAAATAGTTGCCATTTCACATGGCTGAGCGGGGTGGTCTGGAACAGGCCTGCTACCTAAAATGTTTTATCAGAATAGCACACTGTTTGAATAAAATGCTTCTATATTTCTTTTCACAGAAAGTGGCGATGACATTAGGAAGATGCTGGAAGGATGTTTTTTTAAGACCTCAAACAGACTTACGCGGCGTGAAGGGCTTCCCACTTCAAAATTTCCTTCCAGGCCTGCTCGTTGTTCTGGTTGTGAATTCTAATGATATTATACATGTCTTTCTGACTAATATCCTCATCCTTCCATGTCCACCTAGGAAAGAACATTTTGGTAAAACCTGACAAATATTACTGAGAATGTCGTGTATTCATTTCACTGAGTCACCAAAAATCAGATTTACCCAAATATCAAGGATCCATCTATTTTTAAGGTGACACTTTTTCAATTAGCATCACGGATTCCCTACCTTTCCCAAGTATTTTATATAGTAGTGTTACCTTTTTTTTTTTTTTAAACCATTACTGGCTATGATGGGTTAATTTTACGATGAGATTAACATTTAAATGGGCAGAGAGTGCCCAGATCTAATAGCTGAAGGCTGAAACAGAACAAAAAGGCTGAGCCTCTGCCAGTAAAAGGGAATTCCTTCTGCCTGCCTGCTTTCCAACAGGGACATCGGTTTTTTTCCTGCCTTAGGACTTGAACTGAAACATCGGCTCTCCCGTGTCTCCAGCCTGCCGAGCAGATTGTGGGACTTCTCAGCCTTCATAACTGTGAGTCAATTCCTTATCACAAATCTCTCTATATGTATAGAAAGACATACACATCCTGTTAGTTCTGTTGCTCTGGAGAATCCGAATACGTTGGCCTTGCACTTATATTCTGACGAGTCTGAAAAATCAGTTGATTATTATAAACATTTACGGTACGTCTGGGGGATTAAAAACCTCTTTCACATTTAATTCATCTAAGAATTAAATGTGAAAGAGGTTAGATTCACGAGCAAATTTATACCCTCAGTAATGTGCTCACTCACTCACCCTTTCCTTAACATCGCATTCCAGAACATCTGTTCGGAAGGATAAACCCACTTTTTATCTGAATCTGCCCTTGGAATAGATGACTCCTGTCTCACAGTAGATAGTGCAAACGGCTGATCGGGGGCCGGCGTCTGATTAGGTGGTGGCATCTAAATAAAATAAGTGGGTTTTTTTAAAAAAAGGTTAGAGATATAAAGTGGAAACAATATAATTAACTACTTCCTAGAAAGCAAGGCATCACAAACACAGCACAGGTTCCCTATTAAACCAGCGGCATCAAAGTTTCAGACCTCTCAGGTCATCTGGCTGTTTTTCCTTGTTTTGAGTTCTCATAAACGGTAAATGCATGCTGTAGTTAAAAATTTGGTCTCTTTCTCCTCAAGGATTCAAAAGTAAAAACTAATACCATGATGGGCAGGCACTGCTACAAATTCCTGGAAAAGAGAAGGTGGGGCTATGTATATACATGTGTGTGTGTATGTGTGTATTTACAGATAGACAGATAGCAGAATACCACTGCTTTCTCGATGGCATTCCACTGCTGGCTGCCACGTGACACTGCACCACCCTTGTCACTGCCGTACAGGCTGGCACCCGGGTGTGCCTTAAGAGGCGCCCCAATCTTGCAGCGTGCCTACAAGGTTTCCCCAGACCACAAACACCTCTCCGAATTCTAGCTGTGCTCCTAACTGAATTTCCTGCCCTCCTAACAACTCTATCCCAAAAGGCAATGTCCTCTGGCCTGGCTTATTCCTGGTCAGCCCACTCTGGGGCTTTGGGATGGCCCTTTGCTTTCTCAGGTGCTCTCTGAAACTACACTTAGTGACACATTCTAGATTTTCACTGTGGATGGAATATCAGACTTCTTTGTTTTAAAAGGACAGAAGAATCAATCCTAGCAGTTTGTCTTGGAGTCTGTAAAAGCATCTGTGCATAAAAACTTTAGGAAGAGGGGCCAGGCGCGGATTACCAGGTTAGAAGGATCTAGGTTCTCCTTATTCTCAGCCATCGCGCCGGTGACGGGACACTGCACGTACTCGTACGCGCGTTCTTGGTGCGCAGGCACAGAGGTCGTTTTGCTCCCACAGGTTGGGTCGGATGGCTCGGCACTCACTGCACGGTCTGAAATAGCTGAAGGGTAAAAACAGTGTCACCACAAAGGCAAGACATCTGCCTCTCTCATCCTGGGCCCAAAGAGCTGAATGTTTGACCAGTGACCCACCAGCACAGGCAAAGCCAGGTTTCTACTGTTCACAGCTGCCAAGAGTTAAGCTAGTCAACATTCTAACATCCTAAAGACCAGCAAAAGGTTCGATAAATTTACTTTCCCCTTGAAAGAAAAACGGGTACCCATTGGCTTACTGTGTCATTCCCCTAGTAAAAATAAACCCCAAAGCTTCAGCATTTGCAAGAGAAGCTACTGCCCACACCAGGTTTTTAGTAAGGGGTGGAAGGTAGCTGCTGTGAGCTGCTACAGAGGAACCTCCGTGGGGCCGGGGCCACATGTGACTGGGTCTCCCTGACTTCCTGTTCCCAAATTCCAGACAAGATCCAACCCCAACCGGGACACAGGAGGCCAGGCTTTCATTACTGATGCCTCCTCTCAGGGGCTGGGGGCAGGAGATAAAAAATGAGCAGAGGAGCCTTCAGAAAGGCTACTGGAGGAAAGTCAGAATGCCACTCTGCTTGTGTGTTGCTCCAGGACTAAAACAGGGCACAGAAAATTAGCACCTGGCCGAGGTTCTACTCCCTGTCAGCAGATAGCAAGTTTATCAAGCAAGGGCACACATGAAAGAAAACGTTCCACAATCCACGTAGGATCCAGATGCCACTTAAGAGGAAAGCTCCGCACCTGCAAGAACAGCAGCGGGCAGGGTAGTGAGTGCCCAAGGATCCTGGGTACTGACGGAAGGAGTGTGCGGACCCAGAAGGCAGTGTAGACTCAGGAGGTGGGGGGCAGGCATTGGGGGAGCTACGGCCCAGGAAGACAGCGCTTGTGTAAAGGAACCCTTATCTTAAGCAGCAGCAGTTAGCACCAGGAGTACACTGAATGCTGGGTGCCCTACACG